AAGATGGATTTCCTCCCCCCCCCCCCCCCCCCATGTTAAATGGGGGACGTGGGAAAACTTGTCTTAGAATCGAATCAATACAGTTATTTTGCCTACCTCAAAACTGAAGTGCACTACCTTTTTAAAATTTCACTTAATGCATTGGAATTGTGATTTGGGGTAGAAAGGAAGGGCATAGTGCCCTGGGATGTAAATGTTGTTGAAGCTGTGGAGTCTCTCTCTCATACAGTTAAAATATTTACGTTTCTCTTTTTCTTTAATTTGAATGCTATTGTAAACGAACTGCATGTGAATCATCACAGTCCCGCTGCTAGTACTATCATGCAGGCGTTGTGTAGCAGGATTCATTATTCTGAATGCTGAAGGCAAAAGGCTGACTTGCCAGTATGAATTACAATTCCACCATAAGGCTTACTTCGTTACAATAATGGATTTTTAGTGCAGTTTTTTTTTTTTTAATTAGAAGAAAAAAACTAGCATTTTCAAACTTTTCTTCTTCACAAAAAATAGAACATACTACTAACATTTCTTTAAAATGTTAGCCTAAGTATAATGTTTTACTTTAGATATTAATTTTCATCAAATGAAAGGACAGGCCAATACATTTAAAAATGTATGGTATAATTGTTTTCTTTCTAAAAGCATTGCAACAGTGTTACAATATGAAACCTAATATTCTAGTAACTTGTAGTTTCTCTTGTGGTGTTTTAATATGTTCTCCATTGCCCTGAAGTCAGGGACATAATTTTATTTTTCTTTGGATAAATAATACTTTTTTTCTTTACTTGGTGCTCTTATGTCACTGTGTGGCTGTTATGAAGAGAGTGACTGACAGATTGCCTTTCAGTGCTCTTTGTCTACCTCTTCTAGCGTTCTTGTTCAGTCTCATTATAATACGTTGCTCTCTTTTTATTTTGCAGATTTTTATCTGTAAGGAGGCTAGCTAAAGCTGAGGCATAGAAGTCCATGTGAACTGAACCTACTATTCAAAAATGTTTTGTACTTTTTTATGTAAAACAAATTTATTTCATTCTCAATTCTGCATGTGTCGTGTCTCTCCCCCCCCCCCCCCCCCCAATTTCAGTGTACTGAATTATGGATATTAGTGTCCTGTTTAATGGATATTAGCATCTTGCTGAATGAGGTTGAAGATGGTGGATGAGGATAGATTTTTATAAGAAATACTTATAATTGTCCATTTTAAAATTGAGCTGAAAATGAATAGAAACAGTAGCTGCATTTTAGGCTTTATATTTATGGGAGAGAATTTTTTTTTTTCAAATAAATTAAAATGACATTTTATTGCATAGAAGAGTGCTTTTGGGTCTGTTTAGATTAAGGTGATTCCAGAGTGAAAGAGAATCTGTTTACAAAAGACCAAACCCACTTCCCTTATCCAGATTGTTACGGATATGAATTGAAGGGGAGAAGAATGTTATCATTGCCATGCTGGTCTTTTGAAAGAGAATTTCTTTCCTTCTTTTTTTAAATATGATATAGGGTTTGGTTGAAGAGAATGAATAGTATAGTCTGTTACTTTTTACCAGCTGATACTTGTTAGATCACCTTTTAAGAAACAAATTTATGGTCTTACTTTACTTCCTAGTTGCCACATACCTGCATCTTGTAGTCATGCCATTGCAGGTGTTGACCTTGGTAGGTAATGAGACTGAACTCCAGGATGGGGGTTTGATGCATGTGTTTGGGAAGGTTCTCTCTCTCTCTTGCGCTCTTGCATGTGCGTGCTCACTCGCACTCTCTGTCAAACACTGCATATGTATCATTGTCACTATGACCTTCTGCCTGCTTGCAAAAAGTGAACCGTGAAACATGAATTCCAGTTGTACCCTGTATTGTTTATATGTGATGTACAAGTCTCACAATATCTATAGGTTTCTAGAAGGAAGGATTTTTGGTGGTATCTTTTGCTGGACCAACTGTATAGTTGGGAGAGTTGCTAGGCAAGCTTTAAGGCACAAAGTGCCTTTCTTCAGGTATGGGGGAGAAGAAAGGGCAGCCTAAACTAAGCTGAAAAAAGACTGAAGAAGGGCACTTCAAGTTTATCTAGCAGCTCTTCCACCTATATAGTTGGTTCAGTAAAAGATGTCCCCAAAAACCCTTTGCTTCTTGCATATTTCCTGAACCATAATGGCAACAGCAACACCCCAACCTTGGTAAAGATTTCTAGTATGTACTCCTTTTTGTTTTTAGGGCTGGCAGAGCTCCAGCTTTGCTTTTTAGTGTTCTGCAACATCACCATACGGGTCCCTTTTATCTTATTTTACAGTATCTTTCATCAAAAAGCCAACACTTTTTGACATGCTATCATGCACAATTAAAAAATAAAATAAAATGTGGAGGTGAAAAGGTGAGTGTTAAAAAGCTAGACTGCGGAATGACCAGTCAGATATTCCAGCAAGGTCAGAACATCCTGATGGAGTTGGTGGCTTACCTTTTTGATAGTGTCATGGTGACTGTCAACAGCAGGAGCAAGGATTCTTCCCCATCACTTGGCCATGGTGTAACTCTCCCCTCCAGTTAGGGTCAGGCAACCCCTGCCCTGTTTCTTTTAAACTTTTGCAGTTTCCTGCTCCTTCCTTCTACCTGGGGTGGATACTCCTGGAGCTGGTTCTGGTGCTCCCTACTGGCTTTTTGTTGCAACTGCAAGTAGCTCCATTCAGCAGCACAGGAGATGGGGGGAGCCCTTAGCTGGCATAGGTCTCACTTGCAAAGACCTATTGCACTTACTGCAGGGAGAAGGGGGTTGTGTGCCCCCTCCCCTTGAACATGGGCTATGAATCTGCTAAGGTCCTGAGAGGAAGTGGGCAGAGTGCTTAAGAGAAGTGTTTGTGTGTTTGTTTTTGGACTCTTCTGCAACAACAGAGTTCTGGAGTTAGTGGTCGACTGAAATACACAAGTTACTTCATAATTTGGTGAATTCTAACGCAAGTGAAACATTAATAGACTATGGAGAGTTAGTGAAAGGCAAAATCATGCGTTTAAGTAAAAAATGGACAGGGAACAGCTGTTAAAACTAATACTTCAGAGTATGACACATGTAAGATACAGTGGTGAAACGCTTCTTTGAATTCTACTGCTAGGTACTGAGAGAGTTTACCAAAAGTAAATAGCAAAAAAGGGAAAAACTGTTCTGGATCAAAATTTGTTTCCTTCTTTGCATTTTTCATGTGCTCCAGCCTTAGTAGCACCATCACCAAGTACAGAACTTTTGGAGACATTTTGAAGGGCATGCAACAACTCACTTCAATCAGCTGCTGTTGAAGGAGGTGTAACTGGGTATTGTGTAGTCTTAGGTAAACTGTACTGCCACTTGTGATGCATTTTGGATGTAAAAATCTCAAAATTGATTTCACAGCTTTCAACGTGTAGCTTAGTCCTTTTCTGGAATATAATAGCTCTACATTGTGTCTGAGGCCAGATGAATTTGCAGGCATTTAGAAACATTTGAGAATACTGAACAAAGTTCACTTACAAAAGCTGAACAGAAAATAACATAGTAGAATAATTCAGGCATTGCTTCTTTCTTTATTGCTTTAACTGAATTGGTTCATTTAAGTTCTTTATTTAAAAAACAGAAATAGATTGAAGACCTCTACTATTTTGTAGAGTTCATGATTGTTAAGTATTTGTTTCTGGACTGAAGAAGAAAATGTCAGATGAAGATTTGATTATGCACGATGAAGAAGTAGATAGATGTACTGATGAATTTGTTAATAACCATGATATAGATAAAGCATTGATGGTTATAAAGAGGGCATTGCAAAGAGAAATGATTTTGGTGAATTGACCTATTGTCTACCTGCATTTAATTATTTTTTAAATTAAATTTTGTTGTAGCTCTTTAATATTCAGTAACATTCAAATGTAAATACTAATCTATGCTGCTAAAACAGTAAATCACTTATTATAATATATTATACTATTATAAAATATGTATTATAATAATATAATTTAAAAATTTCAGTTAACTATGTTTCATTTTGAGTTTAAAACATAATTCAGTAAGGTATCTAAGTGGTTGGAGGTTTTGTAGCCTTTTGGGTTTTTTTTTACTGTTCTGATAGATTCATACTTCAATACTAGACTAGTTTTGACATTATTTGGCTAGTCAATTACTTTTGATTGATCAAATGCCCAGGTATTATGAAGGGCAAACATTCAATTATTCTTTTCATTTATTTAACCAAAAAGGAATTTTAGAAGTAACCTTTAAGTACGTACAAAAGCCCACCTTTATTTTAGTTAAAAAAAAATATATATATATATACACCAGTACTGGATTCTTGCTAATGGAAAATGAATGCCTGGAAGTGACTATTTATACTTTTTTTTTTTTTTTTTCCCCCCCCCCCTCCGTACTGGATTCTTGCTAATGGAAAATGAATGCCTGGAAGTGACTATTTTTACTTTTTTTTTTTTTTTTCCCCCCCCCCTCTCCCCAGGTATGCCTTACATTTTGTTATACAAAGTGGAATTTCTTACTTTATCATGATCATAATAGGAGTGGAAAATATGCACAAGTGAGTATTAGAATTCTTATTTAAAATCTGGAGGGTTTTAAATTAATGAAATTTGAACACTTATTTTAAACTGTTCATATTTCTTATAACTGCATAGCATGTCACTTTCTGTTAACGTTAAAATGTTCTAACCTTTTAAATAAACCATACTCAGTGGAACTGAAGTATTTCTAGAGGGCAAAAAAAGTTTTCTTGTTCTCTCTCTCTCTCTCTCTCTCTCTCTCTCTCTCTCTCATGTTTTCTGTCTTGTTCTGTCTGGATTCC